TAGTTGACTCTTAACCATACCATACTCACTAAACTGTTGCTGCTGCTGTTGGTAATCTCCATTAAAACTACCACCATAAAATGGTGTTGTTGTTGTAGTTTGATTAGCAGGTGTAGTAGCATTACCCCATACCGAACCAGCTTGTGATGCATGTGCATAATTAAATTGTGCCTCAGTAGCCCATCTATGAAGTATTTGTTGTCGTAGGAATATTCTTTTAGCTGGTAGTTCAACACCCATTCTAGCCATACCTTCTGCTTGTTCTTGGCGTAAACCCTTGTCAACACTTCTTAGAACAAACTCAGCTATTATCCAGAATACCAACATCACCACAGTAGCCACAATAAGCCCACGTACAGCAAGTATATTAGAGGGTGTTACTTTAAATGTTCTACCACAATAAGCAGCAACCTCTAATTTATAACATGCTAATTGATCAGTAAAAGTTTGAGCAGCTAACCATACATTGCATTGGACATTATTATCCATATCAGTCTTATCCTTATTTAATGTCTTACCAGCTGGACATCTACCATTAGTATCAGCTTCACGACACATATAATCACATGAATTCACTGAGAAACATGTAATATATCCTTCATCATCATGTGGTAGGATACAACGTTCTAATGCCTCTTCTGGTGGGGTACCATATGGTACTGTAATACCATTCCTCTTCATACGATCAGCTAATAGGAAATCATACTTTATAGACATAGAACATGTTGGACCCCATAGATCCTTCTCCTTGAAATGGAAAGATGACTGTAATGAAGGACATTCATATATAGGCCATATCTTAGTAGTCTTATCATATACCCAACTATAACCATGACAAAACCTAATAAACATGATAACATAATAATGATGATAAGGAGTACTTACCATACTGCAGCTACTATTAGACAACAGACTAGCACTACTGTTAGAAACGTTAGCCTGCCAAATATTGGGCATACCGATGGTGCCTTAACCTGGAATTTAAGTAGTGATGACGTTGTTGTGGTATTATAAGTGGGGTTACCTTAGGCACTACATAATGTGGTTCGGGAGCTTCAAGAGAAGACGAGGTAGAGGGGGAAGCACCATCATCAACAACAGCACCTTGGTTGGTGAAGTCTTCTTGTGTATTACGTGCACTAGTATTCATTATGGTCTTGTTGTAGTAGTTGTAGGATTAGATATGAGTAATAGAAACAAGGAAGATAAAGTACAAGGAACTAAAGAAGAGTAGGGAGCGGAATCTTACTTCAAGATCATCAACGACAACAACAATAATAGCAGTGATATATAAGATGTATACTAAGATCATACATGTATAATAATTCTTCATGAGAGTTACACTTTAAAACAACTATAACTGCATGGTGTAGCGGTATAACAATGTATATAATCCTAATATTAATGGGGTATAAGGGAGGTGAGTAATACCTTATGTAAGGTCCATGCAAACTGATAATACTATGTCCACACGACAAGTAGGTGTATGATCTATAGTATTCATACGCTAACACTAACATCGAATGTAATATCGTACAATATTGGAAATGTCTATAAACGTACTGTATCACCATATATACTACTACCATACATTGTATACCAGAAATAGGCCTGAGCCTGACGAAGATGCAAATGATTACTATTTGCATTATTATTACCATGTTGCAGCTATACGTATACTACAACAGATCGTATGATAATACGACTGTATATTAGTATCATAGATTATCCTAATGATAGTATTACAAACGACGACAGGAGCTAGTATGACGAGCATTATTCCTTCATTATGAT